TTTTTTGAGAGAGAGTCTCACTCTGTCACCAGGCTGGAGTGCAGTGGTGTGATCTCAGTTCACTGCAACCTCCGCCTCCTGCGTTCAGGTGATTCTCCTGCCTCAGCCTCCTGAGTAGCTGGAACTACAGTCATGTGCCAACACACCTGGTAATTTTTTTTTTGTAGTTTTAGTAGAGAGAGGGGTTTCACCATGTTGGCCAGGATGGCCTCAATCTCTTGACCTTGTGATCCACCTGCCTTGACCTCCCAAAGTGCTGGGATTACAGCTGTGAGCCACCGCGCCCAGACCTTTCATTGAAAACTATTATCCTCATTTTCTATTTGTGGAAATCGAGGTTCTTGAAAAGTCAGGTAACTTGCACCTGTCACATGCTGGTGGCAGAGCCAGGCTTTGAATCTAGGTCTACTGAGTCAAGCCAAATCTTCATTCTACTCTGGGAAGAACCCTGAGCCCTGGAAGGACCTCAGTGGAAGTCCACCTGGTTTCCTGTCCCTGGCCAGAGGCTGATGTCAGGGCCAGGAGGGAGGGGTGGCCAGATACTCTTAGAAGCAAGTCAGAATCAGTTTCCTGTTGGGATTAGTGGTTTCCAAGACACACAGAGAGAGGAACATTTTCTAGCTACAGCTGCTGTTGAAGTAAAAATGTTCTGTGGAAACACATCACCAGGGCATCCGTCCCCAGAGGAGATTTGATGTGGAAGGTACAATTTTGTATTATAAGGCAGAATTCCATAAATTTATTCTTTGCCCTCTTCCCAGGCCCCTGTGGAATGCTGGTCCTGATTTAGAGAGGGAGCTGGGGCTAGAAGGTTTCTGTTCTCACTATGGCCCCAGGCTCTCCTCCAAAGGGAAGGGTCCAGCCAGCACAGGGCTCCAGTTGAGCCTGACTTGTTTCATGAGGTTATAACAAGGCCAAGGGAGTATCACCCAGGCCTGAGACAGGTGAGACACTGTCGTCCCCGGGTCCATCCTGGGCCCTGTCCCCTCTGGGTTCTAGCTGAGATTCAGCCATCAGGTTCCCAGATGTAGAGTATGAGGGTGGGCCCTTTAGCAGTCGGGTTTGCTAGACCTTTTTTTTTCCTTGCAAAGATTTTATTTTTAAGTATAGCTAGGAGTTCAAGGATCATTAGCTCTCAGGCTAGACTAGCTCCTCATGGTCTCTAAGCACACATTTCCAAACACTAACATAGAAGCACAGGCACCTGGTTTCAGGTCCTGAGACCTCCTGGGAAAACCTTCCTAGGAATATTCTTTACCATGCTTTCTTATCTCTCAGCCTAGATACCCGGGAAGTCCTATGATTGATCTGACCTCGAGGGAGCTAGTGCTAAATGAAGCAACGTGTTATGAAGCGAGAGGTATGGTTTCTAGTGGTTTGCCATCACTTACAAACTATAGAAACATGGGCAACTCACCCCCAGATATCTACCTTTGGTCTGATCTGGTAAGTGGAAACACTACTTCACAGTCTGGGGGCTAGACCACCTCTGATTCTCAATTTCCCAACAAGCTGTGGGTCATCCTCACTATGGAAGTAGAAAGGAGCTGTGGATGCAGGATGGAGCATGTCCTATCTGCTTCTGGCTGAGGTTTCTTGGCAAAGTCTGGAATGATGATGATTACATCGGGAGAAATGTCCTGGGAGCTTTCTTCTTATGAAGGTCAGACTTTCCCAGAGGGCAGCACAGTTTCTGCAGGAAGCGGGTGGGGCGGGTGGAGATGGCACGATTTGTTCTGCTAAGCAAGAGAGAGGTCTTAACAGTGCCCATTCCCTGAACCCTGCACAAATCAATTGGATTTGCTGGCCCTTTTGGAGTAAAAAAGAGCATGGTGTATGTCTCTCACACTTTCTCCCCATCTCTGAGGTAGCCCATTGCGCAGATGAAGGAAGTGAGGCTCACAGAGGTGGGGGTACTTCCTCTGGCTGACCCACCTTGCAGAGGCAAAGCTGGGGTTGGAAGCCAAGCAACCTGGTCTCCAGAGCTGAGGGCATCACAGAGGCTGTGTTGCTGCAGGTGCATTTGTGAAGGGCATTTCTGTGCCGTGCTGGGTTGTGGGGTGGGGCTGCCTATGTGGAGTGAGGCTTGAAGCATGTGGCACGTGTGCTGCATGTGCACGTGATCGGCTGTGCACTTCCAGATGCCTGTGTGACCACGCGTGTGCATGCCCGCACCTGGCCCCTCCTCCCCAGGTGGTATGGCTGGGGGCCACTTTCCCCACTTAGAGGAGTCTGCAGAGGAGCCAAACCACAGCTCCAGCCAAACCACAGCTTGGGCCGCAGGGGTTTGATCTTCCCTCTGCTGCCGGAGATGAGAGAGGTCTAAGTGGCAGAGATTTACGGGGCCTGAGGGAGAAATACCCTTCCAGTGAGAAGCTCACATGAAAAGCTCCAGAGTAATAACTGAGGCTGCAGAGCGTGCCAATTATGCAACAATTAAAAGGTTTGACTATCATTTCTTTCCCCTTTTATTCTCCCACTTACTCCACCCCCCGCCACATCTGGCTGCCCCTGCAGGCTCCCCAGCAAATGCTCTGGGGAACAGAGGATAAAGAACACACTTTTCCCCTTTTTAATTGGAGATCAAAAGTTGGAAGAAGAACTTACCCCCTCAAGGGCAGGAAGAAAGGGGCATTGTTGAGATGGAGTCCCTCAGAGGAGGGGGTGAGAAAGGAGAAAGGGGTGTAGGGCAGGTCCCTGTGCAGCTTGTCAGGGTCTGTAACAATTTTACAGACATTATCTCATATAATCCACAGACCAACCCTGTAGGATTAGTACTATCACTGGCATCACGTTTCAGATTAGAAAACGGAGACTCACAGAGGCAAAGGCTTTGACCAAGGTCACACCGCTGGTAGAATTGGCATTGGACCCCAGCCTGTCTGATGCCAAGGGCTTTGCTACCAGGCCCCTAGCCTTGGCCTTCCCATTGGTAAAGTGGGTGCAGGCCCTGGGCTTTGTGTGATGGAACCAAGTGCTCCCGTAGATGAAAGGTACAGTGGGTGCTTAGCGGCAGGATTGCTCTGTAATTCAGCCAGCACCAGCTGAGCCAAATGCCCTGCTCGGCAATCCATTGGCCAATTGAGAAAGAATTAGGCAGTGTGCCCCAAAAGTGAAGAAACAGCAGCTAGTCGGCTTTTTAGAGGTGCCAACCCACAGCCGGTATATGTACCCCCTCCCCAACTGATTTCCCAGCAGAGCTAACAGCGCCCACACTCCAGGGCCCATGGCCTTGGACTCCTGCTCACGCACTGCCCTGCTCTGGCATGGCAACTCCAAACACTGCCCTAAAAGCTCTTGTATCTCCTGAGGGAGGGTGGCTGTGGGGGCACGGGCTTTTGCAGGGTAGTGAGCATCTCTTACATCTAGGATCCCCCCAAACAGCTGGCATATAGCAGGCTCATTCAGTTCACATCCGACCCAGACAAAAGAGGACAGCAGGCTATACCCAAGGGACTTTCACGTATGTTTTCTCGTTAACACACCCTAGGTCTGCTCTGTCTCTAACTGAGGGAGTAGCTCTGGGCGGGTCATGCCACCTCCTCGGACATCGGTTTTCTCAGATGTTGATTGAGTGGGTTAGACTGCCCAGAGTTAACTGTCCAGCTGTCTATGACAGCTGGAGAGGGAGGAACACGTAGCCCAAGTCACACACAGTGTCAGCGAGAGGTTCCGATTTTCCTGCCTCCAAGCTGGAGCTTGTCGCCCACACCTCAGCCCTCAGTCTTCTGGAGGTTGCGTGTGCTGGCAAAGCCGGGCTGGCTCTGCCATTTCTCCTGCTTCAGGCTGAACGCAAGAAAGCAGCCACACTCCTGGGTCTTGTGGCCACAGGGAAAAAGAGTGGAGCTTGGGTTCAGCCTCCCCATTCCTTTTCCCTGCACCACCACAAATGCCGTCAGCCCAGGCCCCCTGGGATAGGTTTTGCCCAGTGGTTTTCTCCAATAAGTTGCTTCCCAGGTCACAGCTTGGCTCTCAGCATTTTCTCCTCTGCTGCTTTGGATTCTTGAAAACCCCTCACCTCAGGAGTGGTGTCCTGGAGTATATGTGGGTTGGGTGGAGAATAAGGGGGGTTGGTTATGGAGGGTGAGGTGGAGCAAGTGGGGGCAAGAGAAACTGACCATCCCCCTGACAGCATGAGCTCCACCCCAACCTCAGTGGCTCACACTTGGTGACCTGGGCGTCCTTTTCTCCCCACTGCCCCCCTCCCAGGCCTGTACCAGGTGGCTGTGGCAGCCGGCCCCCTCATGGGAGCTGAGGGACCCCAGCTGGCAGCGATGGCCACACTTAGCCCAGCCAGTTGTTTGCTCAAGTGGGGCCCACTCAGACCACTGTGTGGGGACTGGCAGGACTCCAGAGGAAATGATGGGAGGCTTTGGGTGCATTCTGACCTTAACTGAATTCCAGGATGATGATGTGTGAATAATATGGCTTTTTGAGAGTCAACAGCTTGGGTGCTTTTTATAGTCAGGCTGGAGCGCTGAATGGGCCATCTCCCCATTAATCATTTAGCTAGTTAGATCAATTGGCAAACAGTCCCAGCATTACTCTGTGGTATCACTCTCCCTTCCGTCAGCAGCCACCCTTACACAGATGTCAAAACTGCCATCAAGTCAGCCCCAGCCCCGCCCCCACGCCTTCTATTCCCCAGGCTTCATATTCTAATTCCCCAAGCTTCTTGCAATTCCCACTTCTGTCCAGAATTTTCATTATTTTAGTGGTCTCTGCCTGCAGGGAGATCCCAGTTTCCTCCTCCCTCCCTGGGCCATTCTGAACTCCCAGAGGGCACATTCTGACCACTTGAAGGAGAAAGAAGTTCATTCTCAGTGATATTCCAGGGAAAGTGCCAGGGAGGGGCATGTGGGTGAACAAGCCCGGGGCCAGACCCCAGCATCCCAGGCCTGCTGGTCCTTCCCTCTGTGCTCCCCCCTCACTCCAGGACTCCGGGACTCCAGGCTTTCATCACCAGGCAGACAGAGTTTGAACAAGACCCCAAAACTCACAGTGTCTCCAGATTGTGCAGCCCCTCGAAGCTGTGGGTCCCCAGATGCTGGATGCGGTTGTTATGCAAATGTCTGCACAGGAAGAAAAGATGCATCAGAATGGGTACCGGGGGCACTGGGGCCCAGGGATGGAAGAGCACACGGTGGCATGAGTGGGAAAGTGGAGGCAGAAGCATGGACAGAATGACCCTAAGGTCCATCCCTTTGTTTCCAGGAACAAAATGACTGGCCAAGACTGACTTCTGAAGCCACAGTCTCTAAGGCTGGATTGACCACAGGCTACCCCGTTTTGATTTCCTATTGAAGGAAAAAGGGCAAGGAGAGCCCCAGGCCAAGGCTAAAGCAAGCTCCCCCTAAGCTCTAGGAGACAGGCCTGATGTCAGAGGGGCTCAAGTCTGAGGCTTTTTCTATGGCCGGGCTCTGCAGGACCCAGCCTGCCTGACTCAGTGGCCAGACGTACTTATGGGAGCCAACAGCAAACCGCTGCAGACAACATATAATTAAAGGCGAAGCTTTCTGTTACAACTGGAGAGAGCTGCAGACACGCTCAGAGAAGAGGGAGATTGGTAAGGCCGGAGGAATCAAGGAAGGCTTTATGGAGGTGGTGATCCAGAGCAGGGCCTTGAAGGACAGGTGAACAGATCAAGCAGAGGGAAGGGCATTCCAGGCAAAGGGGGCCCCAAAGTGGTACAGCTTGAACAATTAGCAGATGGAAGGGCATTCCAGGCAAAGGGGGGCCCAAGGTGATACAGCTTGAACAACTGGACAGAGCTATCCAAGCATAAGCCAGAAAAAAATGACATCGCATGGAAATTACGAAAACATGCAGCAGGGAAACAGAGAGCAAGAAGAGGAGGCAAAAGACAGGCAAAGCTTCAAGCCTAGAAGAAAAGAGAACTAGTGAACCAGGAACACAAGGAAGTGTATCACAATAGCCTTCTGCTACAAAGCAATCCAATAAAACAGTATTTCAAAGATAAATCTTCTTAAATGAAAGGAAAAATGACACAGTAGATTAAGGAAATAAGTTGAGGACCAACAATACATCACTAAAAAAAAACTAGTCAAGGGCCTGGACAGCATTCCTCAGCCTCCTGTCCACTTCACGGGTCACCTCCTGCTAGAAGCCTCTCTCTTCCATCCCATGAGTTGGAGGCAGGTGAAGGACTAAGGAGTACGCCAGGCGTGGTGGCTCATGCCTGTAATGCCAGCACTTTGGGAGGCCAAGGCGGGCGGATTACGATGTCAGGAGTTCAAGACCAGCCTGGCCAACACAGTGAAACCCCATCTCTACTAAAAATACAAAAATTAGCCTGACATGGTGGCAGGCACCTGTAGTCCCAGCTATTGGGGAGGCTGAGGCAGGAGAATCGCTTAAACCCAGAAAGTGGAGGTTGCAGTGAGCAAAGATTGTGTGCCATTGCACTCCAGCCTGGGTGACAAAGCAAGACTGTATCTCAAAAACAAACAAACAAACAAACAAAAAAACTAGTTAATAAATTTAAAACAAGGGACAGTGTAGACACTGCTAAAAATTGAATTGGTATCAGACAGAAAACTTGAGATAATCATGGTGACTACGGTTGAATGAGACAAAAACATTAAAACAAAAACTAAATGCTGAAGACATAAAGGTGATTTAACACAAGCATGATTGATGTTTCTGGGGCAGAGAATCCAAAAATGAGACTACAAATGTATTCAAAGACATAATACAAAAAATTCCGTAAGATGATGAAAATGGAATCTGCAGCTCAAAAGCATACATTGTTCCAGGATAATTGGATGCTGAGTCTTCTATACTGTGACATATTCTAGCTAAACTATTAAATTCAAGAATTTAAAAACATCTTCAGGTGGAAGAAGGAAATCACTGACAAGTGGGAAAAAAATCAGGCTGGCTTCTAAGTCGTTGCTCAAATATAAAGTCAAGGGACAGCCTCACCCAACGTAAATGGGTAAGGACGGCACTCCTGTGAGCCTGGGGATTTAAGGCTTCTGTCTGTCTTCCCCATTGTTCCCCACCTGCTCCATGAGGTTCCAGTTCAGGAGACAGACTCCTGTCCCCAGGGAGCTTCTGATCCAATGGGGGAAAACACTGCCTTCTGGGAGTGTTCTCCTCTTACCAAGGAGTTTTAATTCTTCCAATTTCCTTCACATCTATATCCCAGTTGTCATCAAACTCTATCATTCTTCTTGCCTCCTGTTGAAATCCCATCTCCATTTTCCACCCCCTTCTGCCTCCCCCAGTATATCAGGTCCAGATCATCTCAGCTAAACATCCAGCTCCAGGCCTCCAACTCCCTCCTCTAAACCATTCATTCAGCCCTGGTATCTTGGGCACCTTAGATGGCCCAGTTTGGGGAGGTGTTGGGGCTTATAGTCCAGATTACACACATGATACCGCTGCTGTCCAACTGCTACCTAGGGGTCCTACTGGTGCCAGAGCAGTGGTGGTGGCAGGGGACGGGGTTTCACATGTGGCAGAGTAGCCTGATGATGATGAAAGTTCAGGCTTTGGGTTTAAGAGAAGCCCCTTCTCCTCCACCTTGCTTGCCTGCTCACACCTCCAGCCAGGCCCCTGTCCACCCCTGGATTTGAACCAAATGTCTTTCTTCCTTCCCATCATATCCAGTCTTCCTTATCTTCCTCCTGGGCCTCGCTTCAGCTTATCCCGTAGTCCCTGGACAGCATTCCTCAACCTCCTGTCCACTTCACGGGTCGCCTTCTGCTAGAAGCCTCTCTCTTCCATCCCATGAGTTGGAGGCGGGTGAAGTACTAAGGGGTAGGCCTGGTGCAGTGGCTCATGCCTGTAATCCCAGCACTTTGGGAGACCAAGGCGGTCAGATAACAGGGTCAAGAGATTGAGGCCATCCTGGCCAACATGGTGAAACCCCGTCTCTACTAAAAATACAAAAATTAGTGCGGTGTGGTGGTGCACACCTGTAGTCCCAGCTACGTGGGAGGCTGAGGCAGAAGAATTGCTTAAACCTGGGAGGCAGAGGTTGTAGTGAGCGGAGGTTGCACCACTGCATTCCAGCCTGGTGACAGAGCAAGACTCTGTCTCAAAAAAAAAAAAAAAAGACTAGGACTAAGGGGTAATGTTTGTGGCCTCTCCCCATGCAAAGGGACCAGTTTTCCTCGATCAGCTTTGCTCCTGCACCAGCAGGTTTTCTTTCCTTAGTCCCTGGTTCCTCACTGTCCTCAGTGGGCTCCTCCCCATCTCTCCTAGATCTATAACAGGCCTGACTTACAGACCAGTTCCTGGCTCCCGCCCAAACCTTGAAGTCATCCATGCCTCCCCTTCTTCTTGGTTTTCTACCCTTTGAAAATCTCTCGATCAGGTCAATGCTTCCTTCAAACAGCCCTCACAGTCATGCCTTCCCTTCCATCCTTTCTGCCACCCCCTGAAACGAACTAGACTTTGACTGATACCAAGAGCCTCTGAACTGACCTTCCTGTCTCCAGTCTGCCTTGGTTCCAATCCAGCCTTCAAATTAATCTTCCTAAACTACTCCCTTTTAACCCTTGCCTGAAAACCTTCAAGCTTCCCTCCCACATGGGCAGATAGAAGCCAAGCTCCCTGCACTGACGTTGCGAGTCCCAGCATGCACCTTCCCAGCTTCTTCTCCCGAGCTCTGCATGGGACCCTCTGCTTCAGCCAGACTGGTCTGGTCACTGGCAGCCAAACATGCTTACTCTCCCTCCGTGTCTTTATCGCCATCTGCTTGGAACGCCCCCATTCTCTTCACTTCACCATCTTTCCAGGTCCAGGCCCCACCCCACCTCCCCCAGGAAGCCTCCCTCTCCTCCACCTCAGTCTTCTCACCACACCTGTGTTGCTACAAGTCTGAACTTGTCATCTGGCTGTTAGAACAAGTCACACTACAACACGCATTATTTTTTTCCCCATATTTATTCTGCTGTTTCAACTGGACTGAAAACCCCTTGAGGGCAGTGGCTATATCTCAGTTTTTCGAGTTTTCAGCACGCCACATGGGGGCTCAATAAATGCCTGCTTCTGCTCATTCATCTGGGACTAACTATGAAGTTCTTATTTCTCCAGTAATCTCTTTTTTTTTGGAAATGGGGTTTTGTCTTGTGGCCCAGGCTGGAGTGCAGTGGCGCCATCTCCGCTCATGGCAACCTCCGCATTCCAGATTCAAGTGATTCTCCTGCCTTAGCCTCCCGAGTAGCTGGGATTACCAGCATGCACCACCATGCCTGGCTAATTTTGTATTCTTAGTAGAGACAGGGTTTCTCCATGTTGGTCAGGCTGGTCTCGAACTCCCAACATCAGGTGATCCGCCCTTCTTGGCCTCCTAAAATACTAGGATTACAGGCGTGAGCCACTGCACCTGGCATTTTCCGGTAATCTTATCCCTTATAGAGGCCTGACCCCATCCCCTCACAATGTCATGGGGCTATCACCAAAGCTAGAACCAACCACCTTGCTCTGTTTACCTCTATAAATACCCCCCACCTCATGACTCCCAGAAGAAGGGAGGGTGTGGCATCCTGACACAAGAACATAGTCCACAAGGAGTTTCATCTTGGTTCTTCAGCTTCTCAGAACAGGGAATTAGACAAACGAACGGGTGCCTGCCTTTTCATCGCTCAAATGGAACTAGGCATCATCCATTCCCTGGCTTAGAAAACCATGCCAGATCTCCAAAAGCAGCGGGGTAGGGGTGGGGCAATGTTACCACTCAGTAGAGCCACTAACACGCATGTTCCTAAGCCATGTTCCTGCAGCAATTAGTGTGTAACCCAAAGCAATTATACATGACCTCTAAGCCCTTTTAGTAATTACCCTATGAACTTACCAATCATTCATAGCAATTAGCTGGGAGCTAATTTGCCCTCTAAAGTCCCCACTGGGAAGGCAGAGTTAACTCCAGTCCCCAATTCCTGCCAGGGATGCTATCTCCCAGGTAATTACTGTGATGAGGCTTTGCTGTCTAATTACAAGTGATGGCTTTTCTCTGCTTCTTAAGGCCTGGGAAATGAGATGAATTTACCCCATCCCTGTGCCAAAGCATACGACTGCAGCATCTGATTGTCAAATATGATAGGCATTACTTAAGAAATTCTTGATTTGTATTCCAATTAGCATGGTATCATTATTATATATGCATGGCAAGAAAATAATAGCTTAATTCCTATTTTCTGATTATAATAACCTGACCCTTTAGTGAATCTCAGACCACTTTTCAAGCTCTCATGTCATTCGATTTCATGATAACCCTATGGGATCAACAGGGAATGGTCATCCTCATCTTTTTCCAAAGGGAGGCCAGAAGATTTAGCAACATGCAGAGAAGAGCACAGCGAGCCAGGCTCTAATCCAACTCAGGTAAACATGCAGCCCCCAGCCCCCAGCAGGACCCCACTGGGGATGGGGAACAGAGCAGCACTCACAGCACCACAAGGCTGGTGAGGTTCTGGAAGGCGTAGTCAGGGATGTGGCTGATGCGATTGAGGGCCAGGGTCATGGCCTGCAGGGCAGGGAGGTTGTTGAGGGCCCTGACAGGGATCTCCGTGAGTGCATTGTCGTCCAGCCAGAGGTGGCGAAGGGAGGACAGCCCCTCAAAGCTCCTCTCCGGGACCAGGGAGATGAGGTTGGCATCTAGGCGCCTGGTGGAAGAGAGGATGGAGAGGGGTCAGTCCAGGGCAAGATGCAGACCAAGCTTTGGGGCTAGACTGGGCCAGCTAGGCCCTCAACAGGGCCTTTGAAGTTCCCTGGGACTAAAGTTGTGACTTGGCCACCAAGTATCCTGTACTTTACCTCTTCAAGTTTCCATATTTGGCTCCATTCCAACCCATAGTTCTTTTTTTTTTTTTTTTGAGAAAGAGTATCGCTCCGTTGCCCGGGCTGGAGTGCAGTGGTGTGATCTCAGCTCACTGCAACCTCCACCTCCCACCAACCCATAGTTCTTGATCCTCTATGCCATACATTTCTAAGAATGGCCCCACCTCTTCCTCTCAGACCCAAGGCTGAACCCGTAACCTGATCGTGGATACCCAGTATTCCCCTTCACATCCATACTCCCATGCTTCCAAATCTATGCCATAGTACCCTTACTCTCTGAGTGTGACCTTCGCCTTCCTAACCATTCTATGACAGTCCAAGACCATATAATGGAGATGTTCCCAGCATTGGCAGAGAGAATGCCCTCTGAACCAAACCAAAAAAAACTGCCTCCCCAAAAATGTAAGCCATTCCCTGTCACCCATCCCTAGCACTACCTGTTCCTTGTCCCTTCAAGGGCCCAGGGGCCAAGGGGCTCCTGCTAAAGTCCTGGGGCTTCTCACTCAGTTGATGACCTCTGGGAGGTTCCTGCATGCCACAGCTGAAGCTCTTGATGAGCTGCCTCTCACAACAGGTGAACAGATGGTGGGTGATCCTGTTTGTGCATAACCAGCGATTCTAGGGTGACGTGAGGACTACTGATGGGAGCCCTAGAAGATCTTGGCAGCCCAGCAAAACAAGGAGACTTTCAACCTTAGCTTTTCACGGATGTGCCCAGGCCATGACAGCCTTTATCAATATGCTACAGTCTCCGAGTCCCAGGTTGGGACTTGGGCTGAACCCCTATTGCCCTAAGCAGACGGTCTCACAGGGACCAGAAAAACTGACCTGTGACCATGGATCGATTGCTGGGCTTTCCTATCTTGGGTCAAGGCTTAGCACTGAGCCATGGTCCTCCCACATAGCCATATGGCATGTAAGCCATGGAAACCCAGCTTATCCACAAAGGCCCTACAGCCCCTCATCCTGAACCCAAAGAAGAAGTGATGTGATCAGCAGGGTGGGATGGGTGATCTTCTTTCATCCCAACGGCATAAGCCCATTTGTAGAAGGTCCAGCAGTGCTTCTGTCTCTTCCCTAAGCATCTCACTAATGCTCTCTCTGTGAAGACCTCAAGCACCGCTGGGAGACATCCCTAGTTCATCAGCAAGGGGGCCGTCGGTGGATGGGCCAACACTGCAGTCTTGGGTGTGAAAACACATTGACCAGGACACCTCTTGAAAGCCGTAATTAGGAAAGACTTCCCACCCACATCAAACCTGCCATGATGGGACCAATAGCCCTTCAGTGAGTGCCCTCTGCTGACAAGGCCTGCCACCTTAGACATGATTCTTTAGTGGTGGCCATCATACCCTTGATGGTCTGTCGCTGAACCCCCATGGGGAGCTTTGTAGAAATGTGGACTCCCATGGACCATCAGCTCCAGCATCACCTGGAAGCTTGTTCGAAATGCAGAATCTTAGGCCCCACCCCAGACGTACTAAATCAGAACCTGGATTTTAACCTGACACCCAGGTGATTCATTGATTCATCAGCACAATAATGTTTTTAAAGCACTGATCTAGGTTTTCCAGATCTGATGCTCTGGTCTAATGACCTTGGATGGCTGGAGAAGAGAGGAAAACTGAATGAGGATACAAAAAGCCATTTCCACCTGTAGTTAGTGCTCAGCTGGTCCTGAGAGCCCTGTTCTTAGATTTGATCTTTACGCCAGAAGATGAGGGCTCTACCTCAGCCTCCTGCATATATGACCATAGCAGGCACTCCGTTCAGCTGTGAACTCCCAGCACTCAGCACGATGCCTAGTTTGCAGATGGCGCTCAATGTTTTTTAATAAATGAGTGAATAAATGCTCTCTGAATCCTCTGCTTCCAAGCCTCAAACTGATGGCCTGACCAAGCACACCAGTAAGCTAGAGGAGACCTGGACATCTCCCCTTATCAGGGATTGTCAGGGATCCTGGCTGTCCTGCTTTGACACCCCATTCTCTTGTGGTGAGGGCTCTCACCTCCCACTTTCCCCCATCTGCAGATGCCCACCCAGCAGATGCTCACCCAGCAGATGCCCACCTAGCAGATGCCCAGACTCTCCTCCTGACCCTCGGAAGGCTCTCTCCATGGGGGCAGCATCTTGGTCCCAGATTTTCCAGAGACCACAGACAGATACCTAAGCCCTGAGTCCTGCTTAGGACCACATAGAAGAAGTCACGTTTGAGATGGCCTCTTAAGGGAGGGTAGAATTTCAACAAGGAGAGCGGGGAAGTGGGGTGTCATGAATGAGGGCTTCAAGGGAAGAGAATGCAGGTCCAGGGTGGATGGGGGAAGGGAACACAGATTTCAGATATCCTTAAGAGGTCAAATTGATAGTGCCCAGCAACCCACTGGATTTGGGGGCCAGGGCGGGGCTGGGGCCCGACTCATCTCACAGATTCGGGCCTTGCTCTCGGCTACTGCCTACCTAGTGGGTAAATTAACAGCCCCAGGAAGCCTGAATCCCTAAGGAGGGCAGGAGAGAAGCTCATGGCAGAGAACATCCCTACAGTCACAACCATAACACCAGTAATAATAATTGTCTCCATTTATTGAGTCCTTGTCCTATGCCAGGTATACCTGGTACTGTGTCCTATATCTTCTCAAAAATGCCATTGAGGTAGCTCTGCTTAGCCCCATTTCACAGACAGATTAAGCCCCCCAAGGCCCCACAGCTAGTAAGCTGCAGAGCTTAAATCTGAGCTCAAGTTGTCTAACGTCAAAATTCATGTGCCTCACCATTGTGTGATGCTGGCACCAAGGTGCACAAAGTCGGGTAAGAACCTGTTCACCTAAGACAGCCTGGGACACCAGGGAAGAGACTGTGGCTGAGCTGAGAAGATGGCCACGTACCATGAGGAGGTGCTGGGAGGCAGGCAGGAAGTGGGTCAGGGCAGGCAGGAAGTGGGGCAGGGCAGGCAGGAAGTGGGGCAGGGCAGGGCAAGGGGAAAACTGGCTCTGTGAGCTCAGGGGGCACTTGGAAGTCGCCTCTGCTATGCATGTGCGTATGTGTGAGTATACACGTTTGCCAGACACCTGCGTGTGCATGCTCACACATGTCACCTACAGTCCTGATTAGTCCATCGTCTGCATTTTCTGTAACCCATAGGCAGGAGAGCTTGGGAAGGGCACTTCTGCCAGGCTGGGCACTGGCTCAGCACAGGACTTCACTTTCTAAGCCTCTTAGGGAAGGGCTGGACGGGCTGAGCCTCCAGGCCTCTTTCTGCTCTGTCAGGGAGAATTTGTCTTCTGTCCTGGCTCATGATATACTGAAGTGGCATGCTGGAGCGGCTGAGGGCTGGGGAGGGGAGGTTTTTGCAGCCCTGCTCCTGGTACTTGGGGACTGGGACACACCAAAGGAGAAAAGGAAGCAAACTGGCAAAATAAGAAGGTGGAATGAGCACATGGAAGAAGTTGGCCAGGCCTGTGTTTGCGTTTGGGGTGAGCAGAGAGTCGGGGCGTTTACACTCAGGCCAGGTGTGCTTGGGGGTGGGGCATGGACCCAGGGCAGCACTGCCAGATACAGCAAATGAAACAACACGCTGACCATTTAAATTTAAATTTCAGATAAATAACAGTTTTTAGCATAAATATGTCCTGTGTACTATTTGGGACAATGCCCAGTTAAATGTGAATTTCAGATAAGCAAGTGCAAGTTTGAATAAGTCTCAGGCAACATCTGTATTTTGTCTGTCAGCCCTGACCCCGGGGCTCCTGGGATGTGGAAGGACTGTGGGCTTCTCCATCACACAGATGTAGCCACAAATCCCCTCCTTCAACCTTTTGTGTTGGTCTCCTCAGCTGTATGGTTTGATGACCGGCCCACCCCAGAGACTGTGAGGACAAACACCCACTCAGAGGGAGACTCCAAGAAGTACAGAGGGGAGTGGGGGAGGCAGCAGGAGACAGCGCAGTACTGGTTTCTATTCAACTTTCTCCTCTCTCCCCTCTCTCCCTCCGTCTCTTCCTTTTTTTTTTCCCTCACTGCCCAGGCTGGAGTGCAATGGCGCGATCTCAGCTCACTGCAACCTCTGCCACCCAGGTTCAAGCGATTCTCCTGCCTCAGCCTCTCGAGTAGCTGGGATTGCAGGCACCCGTGACTACATCTGGCTAATTTTTTGTATTTTTGGTAGAGATGGGGTTTCTCCGTGTTGGCCAGGCTGGTCTCAAACTCCCAACCTCAGGTGATCCACCCGCCTCAGCCTCCCAAAGTGCTGGGATTACAGGTGTGAGCCACTGCGCCCGGCCTCCCCTCTCATTTCTTGTTGGACACCTCTTCCCTGCGCCCAGGAACCTCTGACTCTTGGGGACACCTAATCGTCGGCACCTGGCTATGGAGCAGTCCCTTCTGCTATCTCCCCACCCGCTCCCGGTGGAATGAGGTGCTCTCTGGAGAAATCCCCCACCCTCTCGAGTCAGGGTTCAGGCTCCCCTGGGATCTCTAGTCCTCTGGGGTAGGTGGGCTCTAGGCTCCCCTGCCATCTGGCAGCCAGCAGAGGGGTAGTGGGGAGCTGAAGGAGTCTCTGAGCAGACAGCAGAATCCTCCGCTTGGGACTAAAAGACCTTTCTAAGCAGCTCCCCGTCGAAGGTGGGAGAGCGATCCTTACGGACTCTGGCTTGGCAGGAAGAAGAGAGCAATTATACCAATTAAGCTCTGGGACGGAATCAACAACCCCCAACAGCGCCTCTTGTTCTCCCACGTGGGCCTGGGCCCCTCGAGTGATTTCTGATTATAATTCTTACCTGCAGTAATGGGGCAGATCAGCAGGGACCTCACAGGCCAGTTCAGGCTTGCT